GCTCCTAAACTCTTATGATGCGCACAACACATACAACAATATTTGTCATAGGAAGAATCTCCCTATGACAAATAATGTCATAGGAGAGCGTATATGTGCGTATGTCGTATTTGTCATAGATGCTAGCAGAACAGGCTGCGATGATGACGGCTGTTATAGGTGATAGCATAGCTCTAAATCCTGTAATCACAACATATAATCGCCGAGGGGCTCGTTCTCCGGAACAGAACAGCCTTCATGCTAGCGTTTAGTTTTTTTCTCGTAAACCGGACCTCCTTATACACTGCGAATGAGACCTCTCTATAGAATTTTGCACAGGGGAGAGATAGTGATCCGCTAGGGGACGGCTCTGATTGGCTAATTTTGTCTCTTATTTATTTTATTTTTTATTATTTTTGGCTAATTTTGTTTTATTTTAGAATTAGGGTTAGGGTTAGGGTTAGGATTAGGATTAGGGTTAGGGTTAGGGTTAACTGATTTCTATATCCACAACTTATTTCTATATTCACTATCTCTCCCCTGAGACCTGCTACTCTCTATACACTACGTGTACACAACTCGCAACTTTACCATGTAGCCGTCAACGGTCTACGGAAAAGCGTTCAAGTTTTAAGGTTAACATTAAGAAAGACTAATTTTGTTTCTGACATTTAAACGGATATTCCCCCCACCCTTCCAGGGCCGTAGCATGGGGGGGGGTCAAGGGAGGCAGCTGCCCCCCCCCCCAGATTTTGGAGCAAAATTAAAAAAATAAATTGTTCTACTAAAAGAGAATTGTCGTCGTCAGAATGAAGGCTGTACATGCATTCAAAAGTGCCTCAAATACCATCTCCTGCGATCTACATCTTAAACATTTTCCAGACCCCCATACCCCCCACCTGTTTCTCACCCCTTCCTTGAAATCCTGTATTCGCCACTGCCCCCTTAGGAATTTGCTCAGCCTACGGCCCTGTGCCTATGTATAAAGACATGCTGTCGTCTGCACGACGTCTCGGCGTGTGATACCTGATCGTCATTAGTGGATTCACGGAGGAAAGAGGTGTGGCCAGCCTCCCCCCCACTGAGAGAAAGTCTTGCACGCAGACGGGAAAATAATGAAACGGATATAATAAAGGAAAGCGTTGCCGAAACGGCGCATCAGAGAGAGAGCGAGAGACGAGAGATGGAGAGAGAGAGAGAGAGAGAAGACCCGAGAGAGAGAGTGAGTGAGAGAACGAACGAGAGAGAGAGAGCGAGGAGAGAGGAGAGAAGGAGAGGAAGAAATGAGAGAGATCGAAGAGAGAGAGAGAGACAGAGAGAGAGAGAGAGAGAGAGA